GTATGTATTTCGAAATGATATAGAATAATTCAAATGAGAAGAAAATAAAACGCAATCGTAAAAAATATTAATTTAAAAAAATAAACTCATATTATTTGTTATATTTGGTAATAGATATTATAATTAGTCATAAGCAGACCGAATATTAAGCATTGAGGGTATATTGAAAAAGAAAATTCTACTGCCATAAAAAATATATTAAAAATAATTATTAAGTCAAAAATCTCATAATATAATAAATAAGCGTTTAAATATTTTAATCATATATCAAAGACTGCTTTAATTTCTCCAAATTTTGTTTCTTCTATAGTTTTAAGAACCTTACATATTTGCTATGTAAAAATATACATTTCATAAGAGATACTTTCAAAATGTTATCTCGTATAAATAATGTCATAGTCTGAAAAACGTTACAATATTCAATAAAACAAACCCGCAGGCAACAACTAGTTTACATTGTAATGTAATTTATCATATTCTTTTTAAATAATGTTAATCACAAGAGAAAAACATGCAACAATTACAAAATGAGGTACGAACAAAGGTTTTTCATATCAAAATTTGAGTCAAAGAGCCCTACTTTCTTTTAGTCGTTCAAATTATAATTATATATTTTTTAATTATAATAATGAAACTTATATTTTTCGGATTATACTACGATTATTTTTTTATTGTAATTACATACTCCTGACTACTATTCTCTTGTAAATCTACACTCGTATATAAAAAGATATTTATCTAATAGAATTTTGCACAATATACTATATAGGAATAGTAAAAGTAAGACACCAGATAATATAAAATTGAACTTAGAAGATATATGTATTGAAAACTAATAAAATATTTTCGAAACTGAACAATTTTACGTACTTTTTAATGAATTTTATTGGATGTAATCAAAATGAGGCAAGTTTAATATATAGCTTTTTAGCACTCAATATATATATATGTATATATTATTTGCAATTACCCAATAATTCACTAATAATTCATAAATTTGTGACTTTTTTAAAATAAACACTGCTTAATAACACTCACATCATTGGAAACTTACTCCCAGACACAATATCGTTCGTTGTACGGTAAATTATAATCATTTTATTATTTTACTAAACAATAGAGACATAAAGCATTGTTTCATAAACGATAATAACAAAAAATAGCAATAATTCTAATCAACGCAAAGTATAATTACAAATATCACTACCAAAGCTAATAAATAACAAAAAAATACATGACATATCCAAATTTTGAATTAAATAAATTAAATTTTATACACGTATTTGTAAATTGACAGCTCTTGGATCATAAAGTGGCTCGGTGTATTTAATGCATGGGGAATGAATTCTGAACTCAGTCGCCTACCAAAGGGCGAACGCGTCACACGTTATGTGCTAAATAAATGTATGTACAAAATATATACAGTAAATATATGAAACTATTGAAGAATGAAGACTGGAATTAATTTTATTTAATGAAGTTTGTTATTGTGTTAAAAATGATATATTTGTTATTATTATTTGTATTTTGTGCTGTGAAATCTGAAGTTTTAAGGTAAATATTAATTTTAATACAAGATATATGATTTTTACGAAATTATATCGTACAATTGTCTTTATATGTGAAGCGAATTCGACATATTTTTGTAACCTTGAAATAGATTTACTAGGCTAACTTACCCTTGTTACATTTATATGTAACTAGTCGTGCCTTCCGGGTTGGCTTGTTATTTATTTTATTATTATGGATTAATCAATTAATAAACATATATATATCACGACTGATTTAATAGGCTGTATTTACGTTAAAGCTATTTTAAGTATACATTAGTTACATATATATCTTATATATTAAGGAAAAAATATAGTTATTTACCTAAAAAGTGATAGGAATAGATGCAACATAATTAATTAATTATTATTTTTATGTTATATTTGTGTACCTATATATGTTTTGTGTCCTTAAGTTACAAACAATGATTGTGACAACAAAGACGAGATCTCAGATTACATCTAGACAGATTTAATTGTGTTTTATTATTTGTAACTTATGTTTATACATGTTTTAATTATTATATTTTATTATCTTAACAGAAATTAGGAACGTATTGTATGACAAATTGTTTAAAGACGTGCGTAAATAAAAATAATCTTAATAAAATATATACAATATTACAACGGTAGTTTTTATAATCAATAATTTGGTTTACGGAAAAATTACGACAAAAAAATAGAAGACCTTAATATCTATATACGGATAACTGTTGTACAAAAATAAATACGCCATTTATTGGCATTTAAATGGCATCTATATTTATCGATCTAAAAATATAAATATTAAAACACTTGTTAAAACAAAACAAATACAAAATATTAAAACATTGTTTAAAATATTTCGCAAACTCACAAAGTTCATTGACGTTATAATCATGTGCCAACAAAGATTATTTTTATTTATATTTGTATTTTATTTCCGCGTGTTTTCATTTTGCGTAATAATTTTTTGGGGACAATAAAACAATGAAAAACATAAGCTACAATTGCTTTATTTTAGGTTTTTCACAATTTTTCATCACAAATAATATTTATCAAAAGATTTTAATGATAGTTTTTTCGATATAAAATAAGTATAACTGTTGATGTCAGGCAGGCAGCCGGTCGTAAAAACAATAAGCCAAAACTATTTACAACATTTAAAACAGACCCTGGCTAAAGCTGGGAAATTTCCAGGAAGAAGAAGATATATATTTCTTGCTATTGTAATAGCGACCATAGATTTCTTGCTTTTTATTCATATTATATACTCAATGAGCATAATTTAAGAAAAACATTTTAAGATAAATGAATACTAAGTAACATATTGAGTTAACGAAGTAATTTAGTTCATTTTCTGTATTTGGTTGGTAATAAAATCAGTTTTTATAGTCTTGATATCACCTTATAAACTAAAGTATTCTAGTTAAACATAATGCTCGTAATTAGTCATTAGAAGCATGATAACGGGCGATAATATGTAGGTTAGTATAAATATTTAAATTAAATAATTGATTTAAATGAATTTTATATATAAATAAATGTATTTGTATATGTAATTGTTCATATGTTAAGCTGGCTCTTCTTCTACCGGGCAATTTCCCAGCTTTAGCCAAGGTCTGCCTTACATGTTGTGAATAGTTTTGGCTAATTGTTTTCACGACCGGCCGCCTGCCTGACATCAACCCTCTTTGGGAATACATATACATATTTATATATGTATTTATTTCATTCTTAAGTATATAAAAGCATCCGTCCATCTACATTAATCTGGTTAACATCCTGCAATATAAGGATAACACCGGTAATTCAATTGTAAGTGAAATTACAATAGACTTTTATCAACTGTTATAAAGATCTACTTAAATCCAGACATAACTTGTACTGTGTACTTAGTAAGTGTAGCTTTATAAATGTTCGAGGAAATATATTAACTTGAAGAACCTTTGAAAGTGACAAAACTTAATTGCTTCAGTATTTGGGATAATTAAGAGTTGATTAATATACCAATTGATAAAAAATAAGTACCTTCTGTTATGGTAATAAACGAAAAGATATACATAGTTTATTTTTGTTCTGTTTGTGCTTATGTATTCATTTTGAAAAATGTTGATCATGCAAAAATTTGAACTCTGTACATATTGAAATCGGATACCCATGAAACAAAAATATATATTTTTTTGTTACGTGATCAATATTTATATATATGTATAATCTTTATTATACTAAAACTACATTTAATAATGCATCCAAATAGTTAAAGAAATTGCGAATAGTATGTCACATATAAATCTGAATTCGTCATATTTTCTAATATTATTATTACTCATAAACTAAAAAACTACCCAATTGTTACTTACAGTAAGAAAATTTAGATCTAATAATCAACTTTATGACTTATCTGAAAAAAAAAACGTTCACATACATTAAAACATAACTCATTGATTACCTCACGGTCGGATAAAAACTATCAAAGAAATATCTAACAAAAAGAGCATGCTTATTATTAGGGTAAACACGAAACACACGTGAGTAATGGCCTGTCGTACACCAAGCTTTATACAAATGACGTAATGACCGGTTGTTGAACTATGCTCTTGAAATGTCAAGGTTGCAACAACAATGGGATTATGGTAATATTTTTATAACGTAGGAAAATTATAGAACTATGTCACATTACAATATATATATTGCTTTGTGTTATACATTTAAATGTAGATATAGTTGTTAATTTATTTTTATTTACAAATAGATTTAGATTGGAATGTAAGATTCTTAGATTTCGTTACTTTTTTAGGAAGACTATACTTTTAAAAGATATTTTCTATCCAGATATTACTATATCTTCAAAAAACCTTTTGTTAATATTACATACAGCGAGAGAATATGTTCCTTTGTTTATTTTTTAATGAAACATATAACCAATGACGGAATCCCTTATGTATTTACTTCATTCAAATATTTTAATTCTACTAATACGTTTACTCTGCCTATATGTTGAGTTATGTTTTCAAGGTGTTTCCAGATATGCTAATTTTGCTAAAATTTTTGTTGTTTTGTTTTCTGCTTGTGATTTATTTACAAAATAACATCAGGACGGTTTATAATTTAAATTTGAGATGAAATTTTGTTGTGACGTGTATAATATTATGAAGTATTTTGAAGCAAGAATATTAAGACCTACTTTTATATATTTGAATGAAAATCTTCGTACTTATAGCTTTGTTAAAAATATTTGTTCTTAATTGTTCACATATTTTCTGAGTCCTTTCTAAGTAAAAACTCAATAACTTTCATCGAAAAATTAGTTTCCCTGCTCAGAACTAAGAATTAAAATGTAATTTAAATAACTCAGCAAATATATCAACATATTTCATCCATTTCTTTTGTTATGAATAATTTCTGTATTTTCTTAATAATTGTTAAATTAAATTTATCTTTTATTTCAGTAACTATTATGTAGTTGAAATGCCAGAATCAGATACACAAGAGCAGAATGTGAATATCAAAAAAGACTTCAAAGTTTATTGGAACGTGCCTACGATGCAGTGCACTTCAAAGAAAATACTGTTCCAAAACTTGTACGAAAAATTCGGCATCATTCAGAATAATGGGGATAGATTTAATGGAGAAAAAATCACTATTCTATACGAACCAGGAGACTTTCCGGCAATTTTTAAAAACGAATCCAGTGGAAAGTATAGATTGAGAAATGGAGGCGTTCCACAGGAGGGTAACTTGGAAGAACATATAGAAGCTTTTAGAATTGATTTAAATCAAAGTATTCCAGATCCGAAATTTGATGGTTAGTATTTATCATATTTCTACCTACAAAATAATATATACACAAAAACAAAAATAACAGCAAAAAAACAAAACTCAAACATCATAGTCTTTTTACGTACATCAATCCTTTATCTTATTTTGTTATCGGAGCTTCGCAACAATATATATTAATTCATAAGAAACCTCGAGGTTCTCAGAAATTAATCAACCGTATTCATTTATTCCCATAGCAAAACAAATATTTGCAGACACTCGCATATTCTTTATCGTGTGTCACTATTTATATTACATGAAAACATTTCTTTGTTAAAAGTACATTCAGTTATAACTTAATAGTTATTTTACAAAGTTAAATATCACCATAGAATTTGGGTTTCATTGTCTATAATATAACCTTATTTTATTATAGTTATTTTTTATTCCAAATAACCCAAATTTTAAGCACTGATAGACAGAATCCTTTGAATTTATACAAAATATTTTTAAAATACCAATGTAATCTGATGAAACCCGGTTTGAATATCCTGTCTGAGATATATTTTAGCTATACTGACAAAAATTTAGTATAAAATATACATTATTTAATAATAATTGTATAAGCCTAGGTCAGTAATAATCTTCGTATAATAATTGAAACGTTCCAAGTTCCATGTTTTGTTATTGATAGGTACCTAACGAACGCTTTATCAACGAATTCTTTTATATTTTATATCACTGACAAAAAAAGGCTATGAAATATGAAAACAAGGTATTTTTCTCGTTAAATCAATAAATAATATACAAATGGATAGCTTTTATCAATTAGGAATATTTAATTTTGTATCTTTTGTATGATTTTGTGAAATCAAACTAAATATTCAATGAGGTCATTGTAGTAATATAATATTATAAGCAAAATATGTAGTACATAAGCTCTACGTGTGATCAAATCAATAATAATGAAGGTCAATTAAATTCACACGCGTGTAATTTTTACAGATCAATTAGAAGTTAGATCTATGACTAGTTGAATCACTGTTTTGTCTTATTATTTTCGATAAGCTTGCTTCTATTTTGTTTTTAATGTGTACGAAAAGAGCGTGATGACGTCACATGAATTTTATTTCTTTTTATCAATATTTTTATATGATACAAAAGTAAAAATTGATAACATTTTTTCACAATCTGTTTACACATAAAACAGTGTTTGTCTCCTCTAAATCTTCTTCTGTCAAGTTAGTTATTGATATTCATTATGTACAGCACTTCATAAGCTTATTTTATTACAAATAAACTTTTATTTAATTTCTTATATCCTTTAAAATGCTTATTTAATTGTTATTTGCACTACATCAATTCACACATTGATATGCAATAATAATCAATAAAAATCAAACTGTAAAAACAAATCAACATAATATGTACATACATTGTTTCAATTCAAGCTGCGAAGAGTTCTCGTTTAAAATAAAACCATTATGAATTTTAAAACTACATATCCTTTATGTTAAAACGAGTCTTTAATTTCATTTAACTCTAAATATAGGCCAAAATAAAGCTATAATATAATCATTTGTGTTCCAGGAATTGGAATAATTGACTTCGAATCGTGGAGACCGGTTTTTCGACAAAATTTTGGAGTACTCGTTCCCTATAAGGATGTTTCAATTGAGATTGAAAAGCAATTACACTGGTGGTGGCCAAAGACATGGATACAGGCACAGGTGACATTTTAGTTCCAAAAATATGTATTATATATATAATTTTTTTATGTTAAAGGGGCAACCGAGCAGACGGCCTACCTGATGGAGGTAGTATCGTCGCCCATGGACATCCGCGACATAAGATATGTTGCGGATGTGTCACCACCCTTGATTTGGAAAGAGGGGGAGGAAAAATGGGAAGGGGAGGAAAAAGGGAAGGGTAGGAAAGGATGGGAAGAGGGAAAGGGCAACCGGCTCTATCACTCACCGGACGAAACGCAGCCACTAAGGCTACTTCACGCCGATCTTCTGTGAGAGGGTGGTACTTCCCCGGTCGAGCCAGCCCATTTTCTAGCTGTAATCACTTGACCACAGCTAGGCTCTACCACCTTTAAAATTATTTAGTATTATATTCGTAGTTCTTGCTTTTTCCTTGCTTATATAGGTGGTAGGCATATAAATTATAAAATGCTTCTCATTTCTTCATGTTCTTACATAGTTTTTTATATTCAATTGTTTGTAAATTCTAAGAAAAATATAGTTTAACTAGCTGCGCCCCGCGGTGTTACGTAAGTTAATATGGTTTTTCGCTTTTATGTGCAAAAGTCGAACATTTTCCGGGATGTAAAGTATGTGTTATTGTGACGTCAGCTTCCTGTATACTTTTTTATCAAAATCGGTTCAGCCGTTTGAGCGTGAAGAAGTAACAAACATACACACACACTCACAAACTTTCGCAATTATAATATTAGTATGATAAGAAAAATAAATTAAAATATTTTTAACTTCATACAATTCTGTTACACGATAGTCATTTAAATTATTAGCAAAAATATGGATGACTGATATATATCTTTTTGTTGTTATTTTTGCGGGTACTTGATTTTTTACAAACAGATAAATTTTAAAAGAAGTAATACTATTATTATTTCTTAGTAGTAGTTTATTAACATGGCGTCATCTAGGAGCCGTAAGTCCTTATAGTCATTCCATAATTAGGACAGATACAATCTGAGGGCTCAATTAAAATGCGTCTTTGTTGTGTAACGTTTATTACTTTGATTCACTATTTGATTTAAATTTAGGAATATTTTAAATTTAAGGGGAGTAATATATACACATATTTTTTATACTTCATACAAGTAATATCGTTTTAACTTTGTATAGAATCCGTCAGTATTGGGAAAAATTTAGGGAAAAATTTATTATTCCGTTCTCAAATATGGGACTTAATATGTAGTTTTCCTTCCTGCTTCATTATAAATGCATTCAATAACTTGTATCAATATTAGTTTTAATTACAAGAACAATGAATGAGTATATAATGCAAGAAAAATATATCTATTATAAAACCGGTCACACCTACGTAGGTTACACCTACATTAATACCATAATTCCTCTTTGAATGGATACATAACTTCTTCAATCAAAGAATAAGCGATTATTTTGTAATTTTTCCAGGCCACCGAAAGATTCGAGGTAGGAGCAAGAAGGTTCATGCAGACAACTCTATCGATAGCAAAACAAATGCGACCTAAAGCATTATGGGGCTACTACGGATTCCCACACTGTTTCAACATGGCTAGCAATAATATGAAGGAAACATGCGCTAAGAATGTACCAGAAGAAAATGATAGGTAATCCTTAAAACATGTGTATATTATAAATTATACAATAGTACAAAATTCTATATAATTTAAGTAGATTATAATCTAAATAATTTTATTCCTTCATGGCTCCTTTATTGTTCGTATAAAGAACATGATACAAACGACGCTAAAATTTTATTCTATTTTTATGCGAATCGTAAAAGGAATAGCCTTTAAAGGGGTGGGAATTATTTGAGTATTAATGGATATATTCAAAAGTAAATTAATAAGAATTTTGCAGTAATAGTAACGGAATTAAAATAAGTATATTTACTTAGTAATGACGTTGATTTTGCGCACTTAAAACCAGCAAATTCATGTGATGATTTGTTGAGAAAATATTTACAATCGGTTCCGTAGTTAGAACTTAAAAATAAAACAAATGAATAAGAAATTTAAACATATTTATAATGCAAATTCACATATAACGTATGTATGTAAAAGCATATATTTCAAAACTTGTTAAAAATTCACTATATTATACATTTAGGTATATAATAAAAACACTTAACAGAGATTGGAAGATAGAAGTTTATTAACTCTATAACTTTATATTTCCAGTATCTATTGGCTCTGGTCAGAAAGCACCGCCATCTTCCCTTCAATATACAGTTCTGTCTCACTCTCTTCTGCCCAACTCTCTTCTCTCATTAATGGAAGAGTGAAAGAGAGCGTTAGAGTGAGATACAAAAACACTCCAGTATTGCCCTATTTCTGGTTTAGATACCGCGATGCGGGATTCATGAAACAGGTATGCTTCCAAAGAAATATTTAGAAAAATAATGCTGTTTTAATTAGAGAATTAATAAAAATTTCCCTTAAAATTCCAGGAAGACCTATCAGTGGCTCTCAGTACATTGTACCAGTCGAAAGCATCTGGTTTAATAATATGGGGCAGCTCAAATGACGTGAATACTGTTGACAAATGTAAGAAGCTTTATAACTACGTAGAAACTGTACTCGGACCGAAAATAGCGAAATATACGAAACAGAATGTGTTTAAAGATGAAATTAATAACGAATTTAACGATACATTAACAACGGTCGAGCCTTCTACTACGGAAATTCCTGAAAATACAACAAATTCTATAAAAATGGGACAAATAGATCCTGAATATGATTGGATTCCACCAAAAAATTACACTGAGGACATATCACAACAAGTCGATGAGGAACTGACAAAAAAAGGCTTCAACAGAACTGAAAATAACGAAGTGGATGTCTTAAGTTCAGGGGCTGATATAGATTTTCTATATGACGCTCTGCTGGATGTTGAAAGCAATGGAGAAGACAAAAATATTGAGGTAACAACTAGGAGTGCTAACAGTGAAGAAAGTTATCAAAGCACTAGTGTTACTAGCAATGATTTAAAAGATGAAATGTTTGAAGTATCCGAAGATTCTACTCAAGAGACATCTACAATAGTAGCAGAAGTCACAACTAATGATGAAAATAATATTCATTTAACCCATTCTTCAACAGACGTAACTGAATATACAGAAAATTATACAAACGTAGAAATAACCAATGAATACATTGATAAATATGAAACAACACAGCTTAGTACGAATACAGAATCTGAAAATCATCAACCAACAGAAGATAGTTTTTACGATCTTAGTAACATTTTCAGTTCCAGTGAAGAGACATCAGATTACTTGATAAAAGTTGAAAAAATTAACGCCACCAGCGAAGAAACTTCGAGTAATTATTCTGATATGGAGAACACAAGTGACTATAGTGATTATTTCATAGTTCTAAGAGATTCTAATATGAATAAAACTAAATCACAAACAAGGAAGGTCCTCAAACAAAAAGATAAAGAAGACTTTAGTGGAGTGACGGAAAATTCAGATCAGGTTGTGACATACGTTTATGGAAAATGATTAGGAAATATAAGTAATGAAAACGAACGCTTTAAACCAATACAATTAATTTAAACTACTTAATACATTCATAACATACATACGTATAACCATCAAAATATATACATAATGTTGAATGTTGACTGACTTGCGTTGCAATTCAGTCTTACCAATAGTGATAAAGATGGATCTCCGAACAAAAAATGTTTGTATGACAAATTATAGACCAAGTTTGGTTGTTCAAGCAAAGACATGATATAATAAAACCCTTAGAAGAAATTCCAACTTATGTCCAACTCAAGAAAAAAAGCAGTTTTTTTATCTCATTTCCATATGTATATCAAAGAAAATAAGCCTATCTATCACACTTTAATTGTGAATTAGTCTTGTTATTTGACCACCTTGATTTTATAATAGTTTTGTGTTTCACATATTTAATTTATAATTGTATTAATCTATTATTGTTAAGTTTTTCTTATACATAGCTCTGTGATATATTACATAATTAACAATTACCTGCCTATATTTTTAATGTGTATATAGCTTATAAGTACTGTACATATGTAAGTACAATTATTTAAGTTTGTGTGAATAAATATTTACGAACATGAAACAATTTAGTCATTTGTCACAACGTTTATTTTAAGAAAAGGCTTATGAATAATTTGAACATGAAAAATCATGGTTCTTTCTTTATTCTACCAAATTTTTTATGTTTAAAAATTGTTATCTACCTTTAATAGTGACTGACTTGAAACTATATAGGTCAACAAAAAGTTATTCATTTTTTTTGTTAAAGTTTTTCTAAAAAATGTTTCAATCATTTTGTATAACTCTCATTTAAAAGCAAGATTGTAGATGTTATAGAAAATTCATAAACTCTGTTAAGATCTCAGTTTTATTTATAAAAAAATATCCTAAATGTGTTACAAATAATTTTTTAAATTCAGCATATACATATTATTTAAAACAATAATTAATTAATGAAATAATAGGTTATTGATGAAAAGTTGTTTTCGGTAATTTATTGTTTATATGTGTATAAATACTTGATACTTGAGAAAGGTTACTTACTAAATATTAAAACTTAAAGTATACTTCAATATAACAGAGAAACTTATTCATAATATTATAATTGATTAAAATAAAGATGCATAATTGAACACGTATAAACTGACTTCAACAGAATGACATGGCTTAAGGTACTAACTACTATTTAAATTTAGTTTTTTATCAAATCTACTTCCGAGGCTATGGAATCCGTCTAAGTGTTGTTCAAGGATACAGGTCAAAGACACATCAAATATTATAAAGAGAAGAGAAGAGTTCTAGTCTACAGAATTCGAAATACACAAAAAGATAAACAAGCAAAATGCACTAAGCAATCGTTTGATTGGACTCTATTCAGGGAAACGAAATATCAATGTGTTGGTTATAAAAGTGCATGTAATAGAATTTTAATTGATGTTTTGATTTTATTCGTAGTTGGAAATTTTACAAATATATTTATAGTTTCAAATCAGGTTAGGTAAAGGAGCTGGGACGGTGGAGGTTAGCTTTTGACGCGTGTTATATAGGGAACCTTAAACCTACACCTGGGTCACAAGTCACAGTCACTGTTGAAGATTCTCTCCTTACAACCCGACACACGCATCGTGAATATGTACATCGAATGATGAGAGGTTTCATCTCTGTTTTCTTTCTCCAATTATGTTAATATTTGATGTCATTTGAACTTTTTTAGTACTTGGGTGTCCTGTTTTCATTGACATCTTAACTTACTTAATTCCAATTAGTTTTTAACCTGTTTATTTGGTAGGTTTATTTTGTAGGGTTAATATATATATATTACAACGCAAACCTCTCAAGTTCCTGTAGAGACCTGAAGTAAGATTTATGGACCTTTTTATTAAAAAGAAAATTGATATTATTCTCAATAATGCAATCAATTGAATACGTACAGGATTTTCTGTATTTTATTTTTATTTTTGAACAACATCTGCTAATAGGTATGAGTTAGTGGTGCTCTAGTGGTTAAAAGGCCCGACTCTCATGCATGAGGGCGCTGGTTCGATCCTGGCAAGCACCAAAGTGATTTTTCTGAGTCATATGTACTTTCTAAGAGTATTTAGACATCACTGATTAATGCATTCCCAAAGAGGGTTGATGTCAGGCGGCAGGCGGCCGGTAGTAAAAACAATTAGCTAAAACTATTCACAACATGTAAGGCAGACCCTGGCTAAATCTGGAAAATTGCCAGGTAGAGGAAATCTGCTAATAGGTATGAAATTTTGGTAGATGGAATTTATATTGGTAGTTTCTGTCCTTTTATTATATTTTTTTTAACTAATAGTATAGGCTTACCATATAGAATTATGGTGTATTCCTTCTTGAATAATCTTCCATTTACTCCTTCAGGTAGAAACATGAACATGACGAAGCAAAGTTAAAGGCTATTTACATATAGTATCGTCGTCATCAGCCTATCAGAGCCCACTACTGAGCAAAGGTTTCTTCCTCACATGGAGAAGGTTTGAGCATTAATCACAACGCTTGCTCAAGACGGGTTGGTGATTCCAAACTTATTATAGTGAAACTATAAGTCCAGGTTTCCTCACGATGTTTTCTTTCACCGTATGACATATAGTATATTACAATGAATTATAATTGCAATATTTTATAATAAATATGAATGATTTTATTTATAAATAATTTAATTATCTATACGTTTGGTAATATCCGGATGACAAATATTTTTCCATCTTCCTGTGTGATAACGGAACATACATAATGCTGACATTGTTGTGATAATGTCATAACATATAATATGTTAAGTCTTGATTATCGTTATTTCTTACTGTCTTCTTCTACCTGGTAATTTCACAGCCAGTGTCTGCCTTACATGTTGTGAATAGTTTTGGCTAATTGTTTTTTACGCCCGGCTGCCTGACATCAACCCTCTTTGGGAATGCATTAATCAGTGATGTCTAAATACTCTTAGAAAGTATCGTTATTAAATACTGTATCTTAGACCAACTATATTTTGGACCTATTTTATTTAATATTTTTAATAAATCGCTACTCTTCATCACCAAATTTTTGTAATTAGTCTCTATGTATCGAGATCGTCTATTTTTATTTACATTAAAATATTAAAAATAAAAGAATTTTGAACCAAAATTGCTACCTTAAATGTTCATATACCTCGTATAATATTAATTCACAATAATTTTAATATTGTGGTAAGTATGAACAATGAGCTTTATAAGCATTGATACTTGAAAAACTTCCAAAAACACACGTTTTCGCTTCGTTTTCATTCAGGAGTATAAAAATAATTGCTTATAACAAAAATGTAACAGTTTAGTAGCTTACTCTATATCTGCTCACTGAATAATAAAATACTAATATTTCAATCTGCCTGAAATAAGAGTGTAAAGTTTGCGAGTCAACTTCACATAATTATAATATGTAAATTTAAAATATTTATTATCTGTAAAACATTGAGTTAGATTCAGTAGTTGAAATAGATCACATATGTCGGTCAAATCAAATGTACCTGTTTAAAATCTATTCATGTTTTGTCGTAGTTAAACCGTCAATATGTCTTGGTTATTAATTCTGGCTACTTTGATGTGGAAATGTGCAACTTTAAGGTAAATATTAATTGTGATACTTTTATTCTATCAATATATGTATATATACAAGAAAAATGGTACCTAATACAAGTTAATAGGAAAATGAAAAGATATACTTGTCTTTTACTGGATTCTAAACATATATTTTTCGTAATTATATTGTAAACTTTATATATTCATATTTATTTCTATTTGTGTTTCAAATGTTTTAACTAGAATTTAATTATGTTTCATGATAATCTAAACCATCATAACTTTTCCGCTAACTTCTATGTATATCTTGGTGAACATATATCTATAAACAGTGGCCGAATTTTCTTATAAATTGGTTATTATACTATATTATACTATACATATTATTTTAAGTAATCTATTATATCAAGATATTTTAGAGGTGACCCTACAGCAAGGATAACTTTTAAATCACTGACAAATACTATAAGTTGTATAAAGTTTGGGATAATTTTATTTTAATTATTATTAGTGTTTGCTTCGAGACTATGCAGTTATGATAAATTAATGACCTCGTGCTACAATCGCTATATGTAGCCTAGATTTTGATTCTTGGAAATTATTTAGATATATATCTTTACACCAATAAAATGTGTCAGACAATTGTACTTTTTTTCTGAGTAACGATTTAGAGGCCCCAAGTTTCTATTATTTATTCGTCTTGGGTTTAATAAATGTTTAGTTTGACTTTTTTTATGTTGTAACTTGTATACATAATACAAAAGTTTGACCACATTTCTGTTCCACTATCTTGTTCTTAATCAAAACACATTTTAACAAAGAATTCTTATGGTATCGTTGTATGATTAGGAAATTATATTAAAATTATTATTTTATTATTTCAGTGATAGTTACTTCATCATTGAAGCTCCAGAATTGAATGTAAAGGAATTTAAAAAAGATTTCCGAGTGTACTGGAACGTGCCGACATTCCAGTGTGCTTCAAAGAGAATATCTTTCGAGAACTTGTACGAAAAATTCGGCATCATTCAAAATAAAGGAGATAGATTTAACGGAGACAAAATCACTATTCTGTATGAACTGGGTTACTTTCCGTCCATTTTTAAGAATAAAACAAGCGGAGAATATGGATTTATAAACAAAGGTTTACCTCAGGAGGGGGATTTGCAAGAACATTTGGTTGCTTTCAAAGAACAATTACTTGAGAAAATACCAGATCCTTCCTTTGATGGTAGGACTTTTTAATTGATAAAATCTGCTGAAATGTAAAAGATAAAAAGATTGTTATGTTTCGTTTCTTAGAGATGTTAAATTTGAGCTTTAAAATAAATAAACAAGTTGTCACTAAGACCAATATCTTAATTAAAATTTTACTCTTCTGTATTTAATTTTTAAATCAAATTACAAAGTTTAGTATTTACGGAAAAACTATAAAGTGAAAAAGTGAAAAACCATTCAGTAGTTTTTGTAGGCAATAATTACTTTCATCATCCATCTAGTCTAGATCCAAAATTTGTTCCATAATTTTATGACTTTGGAATGTTGAATGGAGTGGTAGGTATTTAGTCCTGATGAAATATTTTATAAAATAAAATGCCGTAAAAACTTTTATATTCTATAAGAAACCCGTTTTATGGACCAATCTTTACAAAATAAGTAATCATTTACCTTAATTCTTCTATTCAAGGCATTGGAGTAATTGATTTTGAAATGTGGAGACCTGTTTTCGATCAAAACTTCGGCACTCTCGATGTATATAGAAAAATATCCATTGAAATTGAGAAGGAAAGGCATTCGTGGTGGCTAAATATGTGGATTAAAAAAGAGGTATGCTATTGGTAAGATAAGTTTCATGACATAGATGTATGAAGAATACATGTAATAGAGCCTACAATCCATTAAATATTCATACAAAATATATAAAAGTTACTTTAAAATAAAAAATAGTCCCGATGAAATAGTCTAACACTCCAGATTTTTAAAATAAAAAGGCTATTCATATTTATAAAATGAACGTAAATTTAATTGCAACATAAGATAGTGCATAAAAATTAGGAATATTTAATTTGAAACAGAAACACTACTACTGAGAATAAATTAACTAGACATATTTTTATACCTTTCCATATTATATGTTGTTCTACTAAACATAATAAAACTTATTTCACACTAATTGTTACTATACAACTTTACTATTTTATATTTCAGGCAGCATTTCGTTTCGAAACCGCAGCAAGACAATTTATGGAATCTACTCTGGTTCTAGCAAAACAAATGCGACCTAACGCCTTGTGGGGTTATTATGGATACCCACACTGTTTTAATATGAGAGATATGGACATGAAAGAAGATTGTGTTAAAAGTATCCCAGGTGCAAATGACAAGTAAATAAATTATACTCAAGTATTAATATAACTTGCTAAAAGTCTGTAACGAGTTTTGATCGAATTATCAAAGTTACAAAAAATATACTAAGTGCTTTTACTATCAATACTAAAAAATATTACTATGAATTAACAAAAATTTATATTATAAAAAGCAGTAAAAATAATGTTATATTTCTTGTTTTAGTATTTATTGGCTCTGGGCTGAAAGCACAGCTTTATTCCCTTCAATATACAGCTCAAAAAAACTTACCAATTCACAACTTCCCTTTCATATTAAAGGGAGAATAAAAGAGAGTGCGCGCGTTAGACTCGAAGATACACCAATTTTGCCTTACTTCTGGTTTAGATATAGAGATGGTGATTTTATGAAACAGGTACACTTCCCAAGAGATATTTGTAAAGAAAAATGCTCCTTTAATTAACAAATTAATAAACATTTTCCCTTAAATTCCAGGAAGACCTATCGGTGGCTCTCAGTACATTGTACCAGTCGAAAGCATCTGGTTTAATAATATGGGGCAGCTCAAATGATGTGAATACTGTTGACAAATGTAAGAAACTTTATAACTACGTTGAGACTGTACTCGGACCTAATATAGCTAAATATACGCAACGATCTAAAAAAAATAGCAACGCGGTCAATAATGAAAACAAGAATCTTTTCAAGCTTAAGTCGCAAGGAAACAGAAAAATTTTAGAAAGTGATGATAGTTCGACAAATTACGACGTTACATTTACCGATGAACCAACACAAAGTTCTTATTATACAGAAATAGATTTTACAGAATATTCAAAAGTGAACTATGATTTTACTCAAGAGCAAAGTCTGACAACTTTACGTAATGAGGAAGTTTCTACACCAGAAATATCTTCAGAAAGTAGTACAAATATGGTATCAACAAATTATATTTCAACGGAAGAAGATTCCTATAGTGATGACAATTTTCCTAATGAAAACGAAGATATCGACGATTACCTCATAATTATTGATAATTCTACAACCACAGACACTTCTAAACAGTACACAACTAATCCAAATATTGATGATGACTATTTGATAATTGTTAGAAACAATTATGTAGAAGGATTAACGAAATATAGTAATTTGTTAGAACAACGTCTTACAACAAAATCACCAATCAATGAGACAGTAAAGAGTTTACCAGAAAGTGTAACTGAAGCTTACGAAGATACAGAATATGATTATTACAATGAAAATACAATTGAAACGCCAGAAACAAATGATAAATTATCTGATCAAGATAATAAAAGCTCCGATTATTTAATAGTGGTTGATAATAATTATAACGAAAAAGATACCTTTCAACCGATCGAGTCTAAAAGGGTAACTAATACAGAAGAAGATTACTTAATAATTGTTAATAATCTCAATAACATACTCACATCAAACAAAAATAGTACAAATTATGATGCAAATAATAAAACAAAAAGCGATTCAATAAGCCAATTTATACCAAATATAAAGGAACATAGTACTACTGAAGAAAGTTTAGACGATTATGAAGATGAAGAGGAATTTAAACCAAATGAGTTTTATGGTCGTAATGAAGTATTTAATTCTGATTCAGAAGAATCAAACTACTTGATAGTTATTGATTATAATTTTACAGATGTAAACACTTTAACTCCTCCTGATAATACGGGCAGTACAGATATTGAAGATGATTATTTAATTATACCTAAATATGAAAAGCAAAAGCAAGATTTTTCTATAAATAATGATAAAAGTAACGTTAATTATGTGCCGGATACAATGAACTTTTCGACATCACAATTTGTTGAATCCAATGATGTTACTTTGTCAACTGAAAATGATACCTTTAGCAGTGAGATATTTTCTCCTAGAATAGAACTTAACACTCCAGTAACTGCTACCTCAATGGACTATACAATTGGCACAAACTTTACAATAGTCTTAGACGATTCAATAGGTACGGAAGCTACATCTGTAGGTTTCAATACATCAGAAATTATGGATAATTTAACTGCAAACGTTTGGTTGAATAAAACACCTGCTACAGAGTCAAGCGTATACAGTGAAAGCAGTTCACATTTTATAGAAACCACAAATAATCCTGATGACTTTTCTATATCACACATAAATATGGATACAATGGAAAACGTACAATATTTAGGTAACGCTTCAGACAACAATGACGCTGGAGAAGTAACAAAAGCAACATATGTTATAGAATATAAAGAATTAAAAAATTCTCCATCAACTGAAAGCGGTTATAATGGCAAGCTGATTACGTCTAGTGAAAAAGATTCCATACCAACTGAAGGAAGGTTATCTCAAAATGATTTTACAGATGTTAATCTTGTCACTGATTTAACAAGAAATTCTGAAATTAATGAAGAAACCACAGAACAAAAAGAAGAGATACATACAGAAATATATAATGTTTCCACCGAAGAAACTGAAAACGTTGATCAAATTATAAAATATATTTATAACAAATAATATAGTTTGAAAGAAATAAATTATGATAATAATCTATAAAGATAAAATATTCTTTAACTAGCTTTCCCCCGCAGCTTCGCCCGCGTAGAATTCAGTTATATCGCGTTTCCAAGAGAACCTTTCAAAAGTCTAGGATAAAAACTATCCTATGTTCTTTCTCAAGGTCAACTCTATCTCTGTACCAAATTCCATTAAAATCAGGTCAGTGGTTTAGGCGTGAAAGCATAACAGACAGACAGACAGAGTTACTTTTGCATTTGTAATATTAGTAGGGATGTCTAAATTGCATCCTCAAATCAACAATAAGTTGCAAAATAACCTATCGATTTGTTATAAAATTAACATTTTTTGTACTATGTATAACTAAAAGGTATAAAATAGAAAAATAACAATTATTGAGGTTAAAAGCGTTTTGTGGTGAATCAAGATATTCTTTGAAAAATTATTTGTCCATAACCTTGACTTACTTACTATGAGTTTACGTTCATCGTCATATTACGTACTGAGTATTGAAAGGTTTTCATTAATAAAAACACGTTGTTATTATCGTGTACAAAATGCTTCGTTAGTAGTTTTTAAATACAAACTTGTAGTAATACAGATTGAAACACTAAATATATTATAAATAATCATCTGGAATTAAATTCAATATACAATAGGTATTGTATATCAATAAGAGTTCAATAATTTTAGAAACCAATAAACAATAGTATTTCAAATACATTATAAATTATATAAGACAATATTTAAATAATATTTTTATATGCATATTAAAAAAATGTAATACTAATGTATAGTATAACTAGCTTTTTCCGCGACTCCGTCCGCGTGGAGTAGTGACTTCCAGCAGATTTTTGGTTCTTCCCACATAGTTCCCGTTCTTGTGGGGTTTTCGGAATGGTCGAGTTCCCGTAGAGTTTTCAGGATAAAACCTATGTTTTTTTTAATTCACAATCAAGTACTCTTAACCAACAACATATTTATTTGTTTATTTGAATAAAGATTTTATAAAATTATTTCGACAAAATTAGGTACCATAAAAACGGTTTTTGTGAGTTAATCTTAAAAGATAGACATATACTGTCGCGGACTGTTTTTTAGATCATTAAAAGAGCTATTATTCTTTAATACATATTTTTTGTGTATCTTGAACCGTTTTCACGGTGCACGCAACGGAAGGCTTCAAAGATGAAATAATTTCTCCCGTTTTTTACACATTTACCACTATATCTTTGCTCCTATTAGTCATAGCATGATGTTATATAGCCTACAGCCTTCCTCGATAACTGGACTATCCAACACAAAAAGAATTATTCAATTCGAACCAGTAGTTTCGGAGATTAGCGCTTTCAAACAAAGAAACAAACAAACAAACAAACAAACAAACAAACAAACAAACAAACTCTTCAGCTTTATAATATTAGTATAGATATAAATTAGTTCAAAGAATTGCATGTCAATGTCTGTGGAGCATTGATAAAAGTTTCATCCTGTTACGAGTGACACTAGTCACTGTATTTCTTTAATATAAAACATAATATAAATAGCTATTTGCTTGTTAAAGTCCGTAGAAATATATATAGATAAAAAATTGTAACAGTCAATATATTTATGTAGTTACTACAAGGAAACATATCAAGGAATGTAACACAAAAACAATATTTTTAATCTATGGCCTTCCAAAGTTGCAATAAAAAGTTATTATATATATTTTTTTGTGAATAAAGTAATAATTGTTAAACATTGTAGTAGATGGGTGCAAGTCAAACTATTGGGAAGAATTTTAATTGATCGGATATCATAACAAAAGCTCTTCAACAAAGATCCCCTATTTTCAATTTATCTTCCTATTATCGCACTTCATGATGAATAAAGTTTTAGATAATAATCGTGTATTTTGTTTATTAAATTATATCCAGAATTCTAGAAATAAAAAATCTATTCGAATGCATTTACAATATTTATCAAGTAAGTCAAAGTTATTGACATATTTCCAATGTCAATTTTATCGAATTCAGTACACTTCAATACGTTGCTTTCAAATACATAAAAACTACTCTCAAATTGTTGTTGAAACAGCAACATCATTTCAGAACACTAATAAGATAACATAGAGTTTGTTCATTTGTTATTTCCTCACTCAAATGATATTTATTAGAATAAAACAAAAAAGGTTTTATAGCGCTACAAGAACAAAAAGTACAAAAGAATTCGCTACTTAAAAGCTATAGAATATTTTATTTGCATAAAAATAAAATTTTAATTTTTTTTTTCGGTGAAGGCAAACATCGTGAGGAAACCTGGACTTATAATTTCAAATTATAAGTTTGAAATCACCAACCCATCTTGAGCGAGCGTGGTGATTAATGCTCAAATCATCACCACGTGAGAAGAGGCCTTCGCTTAGCAATGGGCTCTGATAGGCTGGCGATAATGATATGAATCGTTAGATGTCTATGTAATCAAATATTAAACTTTGCAATTCACGTTTATTTCTATTCAACAATGTATATACGAACGAATTCTTTTTCTTTACGTAATTAATAATTATAGATGGTTAAAATTATCAAGCGTTACCTGCACAACATGAGTAGCCACCTGTACAAGTGTATACACCATTATGTGTGTTGGTTCGTATAGATAGAGGCGAGGGTACACATTCAACTTATTCTAGCTCAAGCTGTTGCAGGTATTAAACTTCTTTATAATAAAGAATTAGTCAAAACGTCTACGAGGTTACTTTCATAAACGTCGAAAATGATGATATCAGGCTTTTAAAAAACTCGGTTTGTACACTTGTCCGACATATATAGTGTAATATGTTTATTTTCTATATTACGTAAAATTTAGAAATAATTTTCGTAATATATAAGATCAAACTATTTATTTACAATAGTTAGCTGGGCCAGCTATAGATATTGCAGGTTTAGAAACTTATATCTTTCGTGCCTCTTAGAAAAGTAATAGTTTATCTAAGTGTACTCTTATATTCCACTTCTCTCTCCTATCTTTTGTTATGCAACTTCTTATGCGACTTCAAACAAGGTTGCGTTAAACATTTTACGCTCCGGAGGGGGGATAAAAAGAGAGAGAGGGAGGAAGAATGCGTAGCGCCCAAATGGTGTGGATGCTTAAGATATTTCTAAATAAGAATTAAAAATTTCTTTATGCACTTGCAATATTACCAACAGTTGCATAATATCAGTTTAATTATTCTATTTTATGATAAAACAAAGTATTGAAAAATAACAACAAAATAAAATTCTATAATTTATTACAACACACAAAACATCATACATTAGGCTCCACACAGTATGCTATAGAAATTATTTTTAAATACTAAAGGATTCTCGTCATCCGTGATAAAATTTCTATCAGGTCTAATACTCGCGAAGGGATTGCATATTGGATTTGATATCACATCGAAGGCAGTTGAAATCTCTTTTATATGTCCCAAATCTTGTTTGAGCTCATCCAACGTACTCGATGTGATGATTAATGGTATCTTCTGTTTCAGAATACACTTAATAGTAGATGGCCAAATATCTTTAGTATTAGTGGAAGACCGCTGAATCTTTGGGTTGAAAGCACAGACTGAAAAGAAATGTAGGTACTATAAAAAAATGCACTAAATAAACTTCAAAAAGTAAAGAGATCATTCTTTTTTTATCCGACTTGGATGTCTAACGCCTATGTCTATGAGAGCCCGTAGTTTGTCAGTTAGTTTGAACAGCTTCGTAAGGGTCGAGAGTTTAGTTGGTATTGCGTCTTTTTCAGGACGAGAATACGACATAACTTTCTTTATTTTCCTTCACCAAATAAGAAATATGCATTAAGCATTTCCCCACGCAATACAAAACAAAAAAAGTATAACTAGCGTTAAGCTTACACTTTGATAGTTTTAAAATCAATTCCAACAAATATTTATAAAATTTTTTGGTTTTTAAGTTCGGGTTTAAAAGTACTTCAAACATCACTTAAATTACTTATAATCTAACATAATTGCAATGAGGGAACACAAAATTATGAAAATATTGTCAAATTACTTTAAATTATATTTAAAACTATATGTATACTTCCGACGTTTTGGTTACTTTGCAGCAAACGCGATAAAGGGCAGAAATGTAAAGGTAAATTAAAGGTTTAACATTACCAATGTCAGGAAAAACGAAATCATTACTCGAGTAATACTCGTCATAACTTTTCTTATCTTCAAAATCAAACAACAGACGACGTTTGTTTATTTGACAGTCTTCGCATAATCTGGAAATAATGAAAATTTCATATTATTAGAACTTAGACCCAGTTTCATCAATCAATGTTAAATAAGTAACGTCTTTTTAAGGCGTTTGATTTTCTGGTAAATGTTGGAAAACTTTAACAATGTAATTAATAATAAGGAAAGAAAATTTTGATTAAGATTATTATTTTTTTATACTATATATCTATATTCTTCTACCTGGCAATTTCCCAGCCTTAGCCAGGGTTTGCCTTACATGTTGTGAATAGTTTTGGCTATTTTTTTACGATCGGCCGCCTGCCTGACATCGACCCTTTTGTGGTAATCAACATTAATTAGTGATGTCTAAATACTTTTAGAGAGTACATATGATTCGGAAAAATCACATTGGTACTTGCCCGGGCCAGGATCGAACCCGCGCCTTCGGCCATGAGAAGCAGGCCTTTAAACCACTAGGCCACCACTGACTATCTATATATCAATGTACATACATATTTTCTATTATTATAATTTTGTTTGTATGCTTATATATATCTGTTTTTACTTTTTTCTTTCCTTTTATTGTATTTTATTCTCCTTTTATTGTACCTACTCCACATTTCTTTTCTCATTTCCTCTATTAAAAGGTGTCAGGTAGCGATCTCTCTTAAGATAATTTATAATAACTATTTCTACATACTTTTGGTACATAATAAAAAATATTAAACGTCATACAAACTTGACTTTTCCGAGCAATTCTAATGGTAGCTTAGAATCGTTCAGATCAGGATCAATTAGAACCACTCTCAACTCCTTGGCTTGAGACAGGAGGTGAAGGAAAAATGTCTCCCACTTGTTCAAAGAATCCGCCTCAGACTGGAGATCGTTACCAAGAGAATGGATAGTTATACTAGATTTCTGGAATATGAATCAACATTAAATAAAATATATATTTGATTATTTTATATCATACTAGTTTTAGCCCGTGAATTCATCCACATCAAATTTAAGATTCATAATATATACACCTGACGATCTATTTCGCTTCCATGGCCATAAATAAATAGATTTTATACACATTTTTTAATATATTTCAGTCACATATGATGAAAATTATCGTATGTCCTCATAGTTTTAAACTATGTAGTTTCCAATTTTCAGACAAATGTGTACAGCCGTTCTTGAGTTATAAATAGTGTATCTTTCTTTTATACCTGTATTAGTTTTACTTAATACGTACATACATGTCTTATTTTTAATTTGAATAATATATTATTTAAGCATAATATAATGATAACATAGTAATAGTTACCTTATTCAATCCGTTCGTCAAGGACAAATGTTTGGTGAACAGCTGATAGCAAAACAACGTGGTTAGCGGCGCAGTCGCAATTTGTGTTAGGGTTGCGTACTGTATGTCACTGATATCTGATAAAAACATAATGTAATTATTATATAATTAGCATATAGTACCAACCCTAATATTAAAAATACACAGAATTTCCTGACCGTAAAATATAATCCAGTAAAATCGCCTTATATGTGACTATTAAAAATATAATATATGTATATAGATATTTTTTGTTGAATTATTTCGTAAAATTACAAAATAATTCGTGAAGTAGTAGTATTAGTCCAACATATAAATTACAGACGAAAATGAATCTAAATCACTATTTTTAAAATTATAAAATTACTCATATTATTAACGATTAACTCGAATAAAACTATATTAGTCATTATTATTATTTTCTAAAAATAAAATATTTATAAATACATTATCTATAAAAGATGAAGTGATCGGTTCTTGGCAGAGTTTCAACTATGGAGCCAATAAGATTTGAGTGATAGCATTGTGAGAATACGAACATTCTAGTAGAAAATAATGATTAATAAAAGTTATATTATTAGTAGATACACAACCATTTAAAATATTAATATGTATTTCTCAAATATATTAATAACACAAAACGCTTTATAAATGATGAATGCTGTGTTTAAATAATGTATGAAACTTTTCTGTATATTCTTATATACTTTTCTGTATATACTATAATATTGACAAATGATAAGCCAGATAGAACAAGCTATACTTAGTCTAATTTACATGTAAAAATATGAACGCTAACATTTCAAATCTCACTATAATTTTAAAAAATCTTTTCTAGTTGCTTAACTTATGTTAAATTAAATAAAAATTATAACATATTACTATAGACGTGTTAACAATAACAACTTCAATATATAACAAAATATATTATTGTATTTCTATTCAATTCTTTAGCATTTTAGGTGGCAAACGTGAAGACGGATTACTAGATGGAAGCTAGTCACCGTCGCCCAAGAACATCTGCAACATAAAGCAATGTTGCGGATGCGTTGCCGTCATAGGTGAAATTTATATTATTGTTATAATTTTTAAATTAATTCACGTCAAATTACTAAACGTTTAGCTTTTATTTCGATATGATTTCATATGTTTATAGTTTTTAATGAAAATCATGTCCGCTTGTTAAGATATGATTTCTTAGTCCTTACCTAATTTCTCATCATACATGGAACCAATAACTTCGTTCATATTATCAGGTATTTGCCAATTTTCAAACACTTTTTTAGGCAACTTTGGCATCAGTTTACCGAAGGTCTGATGGTGCAAAACCAATTTTTGATACAGAGCATACGATTTGCACCAACGTTGATGTGATGAAGGCAAATGTTTCGGATGATCAGAACAGTATGATACCTATAAAAAATATTTATTAAACAGTTATATTGGTCCGTCTTTTAAAGTTTTACTTTAAGTTTACTCTTCCTTTTTAACTACGTGATAGAAGACAAACAGTTTTATTGAATCCTAGTTAAATTAAAATTAATATAATAAATAAAATGAAGATTATTTCTCTCTCAAAAAGCACCTCTTTCTTTCAACCATAATAGAATTTGCTTAATAATTACGTGGCCAGTTATAAGTTTTAACAAAATTCATTTCTAATAAATTAATATGGAATGGGTATGTATAAGATACAAAATAATACTTATTTTAACTGGCAAATAGAAACAATACTTCAGTGAAGAGCAGACCTTAATTTCTATGTCTTATTTATAAAAACAAATGCAAAACCTATATATATTATTTCTTAAGTCTCATTAACATTACCTGTCCACAATTCACACAATCAGTAAGCTTCTCTTGCCTCCATTCCCTACAACCAACATCTGCGCAGATTCTAGGATAAAGAAGAGCCTCTTGTTCCCAGGCCAGTAACTTTCTCTTTAATATCTTCTCGCAAGATAAAATTATTTGCATCCTTAAAATTCGGTATTCCTGACCGATTATGTTTTTTAAATCCGCGTAAATATGTTTTTGATCTAGAACCAAAAATAATTCAGTGCTTTTTCAACAAAAATATTAGTAAAATATTGTTTGTATGAAATTATAATTACCTTTCAAATGGGCGATGGTTGACACGGCGAAACATAGGGGTTGATGTTGGGGCCAGTTTTCATCTTTATGCTTTGAACTGCAATAAAAAACCAGCGAACAGAATGGACAAGGAATTCGTTGTTTTAATTCCTTTTGGCAAACGTTACACACGCTTTGTAGGAATACCTTCCTAAAATTGTATTTGTAAACCAAATCTTCATTTGTATTAGTATGAAGAAAAGGCAAATTTTGATTATTTTTATCTAAAAGTTCTTCCTTTCTGTTTCTCGTTGTTTCCGCTTGTTCCTTTGATTTTGATTCTTTGTTAATGTCAACAGAATCTTTTATTTTGACTTTGGCTTGAATGCAGTCAGGCTTTTTAAATTTTTCCTTTTTATAATCAGATTTATTCGATTGTACAGGAATGTTGGTGGGGCCTAATAAGTTTTTTGGCTGCGAAACTGGATTTTCTTTTTGTTTCTTTTTATCTTTTTGCTTTTCTTTTTCTTCGACTTCTGTGTACTCCGTGGGTGCTATTATATTTATTTCTGGATTATTTTGATATATGGAAGTACCTGGAATTGCACTTATATCGTTGGCTATAAGATCAAAAGTTTGATTGACGTCATCCACGCTTGAAGTCAAAGCGTCTTCAAACTTTTCGATCGGTTCAAAATTTAAATCTAAAGTTAAAGCCTTCTTTTTTTCTTGACAATCTCCTTCATTACCATCATTTTGTTCTGCTGTTCTCTTCTTTGCTTTGTCTTTTCCTTCTGTATTACCTGATTTTTGATTTGACTTCTCTTCTTTTTTTGATTTCTGCTCTTTGTTGTCTGAACTCCTTGAAGCAGCACTCGTTCCACTAGTTGATGTATTTGCAGTACCAGTTTGAGTACTAGAATGACTTTGTATACCCTTTTTTTTCGATTTGCCTTTGCCTTTTTCTTTACGAGCTGGGCACACTGGAGCAACATTTTGTATGTTAAATCCTGAATTTTGATCAGCATCTTTATTTTCAGTAACCTCTGTTTGCATATTACTTTCTTCAGTGGGACATAATTTAGACTTTTCGGGCTCATCAACATTTTCCACGCATTCAATTTTAAGGGTTGATAAACTATTATCATCTATTGCAGGTTTAATTTCGCCAACTGTGGCTTTCACTTCATTGGCTTCCTGACACTGGCTTTGGAATATTTCCTCAAATTCTTTTTCAATTTCAGTTTCACTTTTTTCTGTATTCGTGAGTTCTGCTAAAGATCTTTCTATGGACCGTCTGAGTTCTTCCATATCACGATTAACTTCAATCATTTTGGATTTTATATCTGTTTTTTCTGTAGGTGAGTCTGCTTTGTGAACTTTTACATCTATTTCAGTGATATTAATATTTTCCTTAACAATTTGAACTTCAGGTGATTCCCCGGAGCCCTGAATAACGGGTGTTGGATTACAGATAGGAATACCTAGCTTTACTCCTTCAGGTGTATTTATTTCTTGAATAATTGTATTGTTATTATTGTCAACGACCAACTGACTCAAAGACCGAGGATAATCTATAAAATCGGGTACAATTTCTGAATCCTTAGTGTTTAAATTTGTTGCCACAGGTTCTGTCTGAATTTCTAAATTTTGTTGGACATCTGTAATGTTTTCGGGTTTATTTATCAATGATTCTTGAATATTTTTATTCTTTTTCTTCTTATTTTTAGCGGATTTCCCAGTCACCGTTTCAAAATCACTAAAATCTGTTTTTAATTCTTCTGCCGTCAATTGTTCAGAAGTTTGTGTTAAATCCGTAATTTCTGTTCCATCTTTCAGATTTGATCCAGATAGATTCGTGCATGAAATATCTTGGTCTTTAAGTTCTTTGTCAATTTTTATATTATCATCAATATTAGTTTCAATTATACCTTTATCTTCAGGGAGAAGTTTTTCATCTTTTCTTTTATCATCAAGAACAGCACATTCAGTTGATAGTTCCGAACCACTCTCATTCTTTAAATCCTGTATATTTTTCTTTACCTTACGTTTATTATCAACAGGTTTGATTATTTTAGCTTTTTGTTTTGGACTAACTTCTATAAAGGTGGTGTTGTCTTTTAAATTCTTATCTTCATGTTCATCTTTTGTTGGAAGGGATTCTTTGTTTTCGATTTCAGGCTCTGGGTGTTCTATGGGTGGCTGCTTTTTTCCTTTTTTATTTTTCTTTTTAGGTTTTAAAACTTCTGGATTTATAACATCATTTGGAGGTTGTTCAATATTGTTTTCAACTGTTGATATATTTGTAACAGCTACTGTAGTTTTATCTGATTCTGTTACCTCAATTATTTTCTCTGAGTCTGAGATTTCGTCATGATCAGAAGATTGAATAAGTTTTTGAAAAGCCAAAGTACAGCTTGCCTGGCTATTCTGGTCAGATTTATCTGAATCGTGTCTATTTTTCTTCTTTTTCTTCTTCTTTTGGGAAGAAGTCTCTTTAGGAGTGCTTACGTTTGTACTTATACTCGAATCTACCTCTATAATAGGAACACTGAGTATTTCTTTTGTACAAGATTCTTCAACTGGTGTACATAAATTTATTTCATCTATCTTAATCTGTGTACTAGGATTTTTAGTTTTACTTTTCTTCTTATGTACAATTTGAGCTTCCTTTATTAATTCCTCTGAATCTTCAATATTTTGTATACGTAATTCTTGATGTTTAGAAACGCTTTCTTTTTCTGTTATTTTATTATCTTCTGCTAAAATATTTTGCTTTTTTTTACCTTTTGTTCTTTTTGGCTTTTTAGGAATATCTTCTGTCGTATTATCTGCAACACCTATGTTATCTTCCTCTGGGTTACTACTTTTAAGATTCGCATCCTGATTTTCACTTAAAATGGTATTATTTTCTTCGACCTGGACTGGTTTAGGTTTATTTTTACTCTTATTCTTCTTTGTATTCATCTTCAAATGAATATAAAGTCACTGCGAACTTTCACTTTTATTATATTAATCTAGCGACGTCTGCACATTAGAAAAATCAACACACATCTGTTAGAATTGTGTGTCAACTGTTATTCTTATCCTACAAAATCCACGTGTCAAATCATAAATGTCAATAGTTTAATCGTCTATTCAAAAAGAAATCTTAAACGTAGAACTTAAAGTTCAATTTGGGATGACAAATTCGAATTATCAACATGCCACTGTAATGAGGAAGCATGTCTTGCCAAAAGTGCATTCGCACAGCTACAAGCATATTAATAGATTTTAACTAGGAAATGATTAAAACTTTCTATTCGTCTACTATCTTTAGAAATGCCTTTCCTATTTGATAATTAATACTCAAATTAATGAGATCTAAGATTTTAGCGAGTTTTATTTATTTAAATGAAACTAATATTTTTCGGATATACTACGTTAGTTCATTTTTAATAAAAACTGTAGTTTATTTTTGATTAAATCTACTAGTTTTAATCAAAATTAAAGTCGCTTAGTACATATATCCGAAAAATATTAGTTTCATAGTTTCATTTAAATACTCAAATTTTAATCTTATTGCAGCCTTAACAAAATTATTATTCCAATATTAAATTGTTGAGGGTTTTAATTATTATGTTCTTTGTAATTCGATTTTAGTAATAAAAATAGTTTTCGCAAGGGTTGAATACGTAATCTTTTCTTTCTTCTAGCTATACCAAAGCTTTATGAGGCGTATCAAAACTTATCAGTGCCACATTACAATAGAATGACACCTATCATTTTAACAATGGAATTAAAAGAAAAATTTATAACAATAAAGCATTATCTAACACAATCTGTCATGTAAATAAAATTGCTATGACCCATATAAATCTTTTATAAAACCGAATGCACAACCCTTGAGATACAAAAAGCTGTAATTACTAGCAATTTTGAACTCTATTCTTATAGATATAAAGTATTTTAGAATGAATTTAATGCATTGAGTGGCCCTCGTTTTAAAATGCTAATGAAGGGGTTGCCCGCACCCTAAAAACGTAGTCTAGGAGCTGATTATACATAGTTGTACATATTTTTTAATAAATTATCAATAGCTAATTTTTCGTCAACTTTATATCTTTTTTTGAACCAGAAACAAAGCTATATTGATCATTTTGCCATCAAATCAGTATCCATGATATTTGAGATTAACTTTCAGAAAAACGTGTTGTATTTTTCTGAGTTGACCTAATAATACTTACGATTTACGAACTGGTAATGGATTTGTTTCTAATTTTATTTTTATTTAAATTAATAGTTTCAATATATATGTAATTTGTTAAACGGTAATTTTCAAAACCCTGCGCAATATACTATGTATGAATAATCTATTTTTTTCTAAATTTTAATTTATATAATACTTTTAATACATCATTATGTTTCATTTGATATTAAATTTCTGTCTAAATGATTTCACACATTCTTGTGATTAAAAGATAGTAAAATCATGTAAATAAATGATTTGAAAACATCATTTATTTTCACATTATTTTTATATCATTTTAGTTAAATTCGCAATTATATTAAATTATATTTTATAGTACTTATAATTATTATTTACAGAATACCTGTTAAAAGTAAAACTGTTCCGTATTGGTAACAGATTTTCTTAGACCATTTCTATTAAAATATTATAAATATCTTTAATTTCATTTGTAGTTTATAATTTACAAAATACTATATTTAAAATAATAATTATATATTTTAATACTTTTTGTAAAAAACTGTCTCTTGTACTACAAAATCGGTAGGGTAGTATTCTGTAGGGTAGATAGAGTACGTAAACTAATTATAACTGCGCAAAGCAATAGCACTGGACACGCGCTATATGTAGAGGGCCTTTTATTTTAATATAGAAAATAATACTTGCTTTCATGTTGTATTAAAACTGAATTAAAAGAAAGAAATCATCTTTATTATTATCATTTCAAACTATAACTTCAATGATTTCTTAGTATGGAATAAATAATATTTTTTTTGCAATTTACTCTCTAAATATTTGCATAATATTATTTAAAAAAATAGTGTTATTCTGAATCAATAACAAAATAAATTAACATTTATAATACAATTATTATGAGTAATATATAAAATGATATAATATTATGATTAAATTAAAATGTATATATAACTTCTACGTATATTTTTAATATGATCTTAATAAATATTCTCTCCTACACAATACAAAACTCCGTTATGAAATCTGTTCACAGTTGACGCGTGCTATCAAGGGACATACACAGACTAACTAATGATGATAAACTTATAAAATTATATATATATACTAGAAGACGCGGCGCACTACGTATCGCCCTATAATCAAGAAATATCTGTTACCTTTTTTTATTTATATTTTTGGAGTTTACCTATTAAAGACATAAATCTCCGTGTTTTGAAGTGCGACAGAATGATTGACATATTAAAAAACGGTTGTATCAACAACTACTAATAAATTAAAAATTAATTAAAAAAACATTGTCCAGCGGACAAAATTGTGAATCTAAACTATTCCCAGATCCCCTTGAACACACACAAAAAATTTCATTAAAATCGGTACAGTCGTTTGAGAGAAGTTCAGTGACATACACAATCACAGATGAATTATATATATTTGTATAAAGATATAAAAACGTCGTGTTAGTTACACTATTTATAACTCAAGAACGGCTGTAGGGATATGGCTGAAAAGTGGTGGACAGATAGCTTAGAACAAGGAAAAAGTAATACAATACATTTCATGCGATTGAAAAAGAAAAAACAAATAACTTGAACAAATCCAAAATCTTATCTATTGTCTTTAAGGAGTAATAGAGTTCGCCCGGTCAGCTATACGTTTCTAATTCTGTATTTAACGCCGACGAAGTCGCGGACAAAAACTGATACATATATATAAAGTTATATAGAAAAATAATACATAATATGTAAAATATTCATATTCTAATTCGGTAGTAGTAAGCTTGAGTAGTTTTAAGATTGTGGAATTGAAGTAATTTTTGAATATTTGTTTAGTAATATTTTCGTAAGATCCTAAACAAATCGGTCTTATTTTTATATTTTTTTTAATAAATATGTAAAATGAAACTAACATTATTCGGATCACTACATACTCGTATTTTATTATTATGTAAAAAACTACATACGTTTCGATAACTTTTCATCAACTTCGATCACGGACAGACGAGATGGAAATATCTGCCAGTTGGTCTTGTTATTTATCTACCGCAATCGATTTCTTAATTTTCTGAATACTCGCGATATTTATTATAAAATTTTCCTTAACCTAAATAAATATGACCATTAAAACCATATTTATTCTTATAAGCCTCTGTTAAAATATACTCTGTACATAAATGATAGAAATATGCGACATTCGCATTGAATAATTCCGCTCTGTAAAAACAAGGCGTGCGTGACTATCGCGATATACGGAGCTTTAGTTAACAGCTGACTTTGGCAACATATGATGTTAAATATTAATGAATTATTACATTATAATTGAGTAATACTTTTATATGTTTATTAATATATCTAAATTAATATGTGCTAAATATATAGAGGTTAAATATGTGAAGTAATTTCGTACTATTGCTATTATTATAGATTTTTTTAAGTCTAGCTCAAGAAAAGGTTGATTTCTTTGTTGGTAATAGAATAGGGTTTTTATAAAGAATTCTTCTATATTTAAGAATATTGCTTTGGAATTAATAAAAATGTATGTAATGGTAAAAATAAAGAAGTGAGGGATATACGATAGTTATGTTGAGAGATTTGCATCTGGAATTAAAAGTATTATTATTTTTTATGAAATGAATAAATGAACTATATAAAGAGAAAGAGAGAGAGGATAGAAAGAGAGAGATAGATATAGAAAAAAAGGAATTAATATCAGCTTTAAACAACTAGTATCAACCAAAAGCGAACTACTCGTACATGTCAGTTAAAGTTGACAATTCATAAGAAACCCTTCGTTTCTTCGTAGAGCCTAGACCTTGTTTGCATTTTAACAAAGATAGGGTTCCTTTTTCTTCATGCAAACAGCAAATTATTGGAACAGTTTGCTTGCCTCTTTGTTTCAGTTCAATTATAATGTTTGTATTTTCAAGAATAAAGTGAATTAATAAGATAATGGATACATCACCTACACCTAACTAAGGATGAAATGATAGTTAAGCTTTGTCGAGACAAAATAAAAAGGAATATTATCTATGTATATTATATAAAATAAAATTATGTTAGTTACACTATAACTTAAGAACGGCTGTAGGGATATGGTTAACAATTGGTAGGAAGATATCTTAGTACCAGGGGACGGGCATAGAATATTTAATTCTGTTCAATCGAAAAAGAAAACAAAACTTAATACATTCCAATATCTGGTTATAAACGCTTTCTAGGGCGGATTAATTTTTACCGGTCTCCTTTAAATATATTACTTATTCCGAAATTAATGTCGCGGACAAAAAACTAGTTATTTATATAAATAAAATATAAAATATTTTTTAAAATTGTTCTTGGACACCATAAAAGACGAATTTACCATGTAAATATATCCAATAGATATTTGTATATGTATGATGTAGAATTTAAAGTGTATGGCAAAAATATATGTCCATAGTATCTCGTAGTTATGTTTTGGTGATTGAAGCTTTTGGCTATTCACCAAACGAGGGTTTTATTGACCCTTAGGTCGTCCAAAACGCCAAAGGCGATATCATTGAAGCATAAACGTATACATGCTTTGTACAGAATAAAATTATTATTAATTAGCCTCCCTAATATTATAGAAGGAATTGTATAATTCAATCAACCTTATTTGATTTCATTGAAACGTATATGTTTAAAAAAATATATCTTATATATAAAATTCTTGTGTCGCGGTATTAGACAGAGAACTCTTCGAAAATGGCTGAACCGATTTTGATGAAATTTTATGAGCATATTGAGTAAGTCTGAGAATTGGCCAATATTTTTTTCATACCCCGAAGAAATTTAATGGTTGTTCACCCTTTTATTTTTATTTTTTATTTTCGGACGAAAATTTTGATTTTATTTTTTTATAATGTAACGTTAAAGAATACATACAACCCAAAATTTTTGCTTTATTTATCACCAACCCCTATTTTTTATATGGCGAAACAACATTTGCCGGGTCAGCTAGTATACATAATATATAAAAATTTGTCATAGAAAATTCTAGTTTCTAGATTAAAATGAATCTCGATGTATTAAATTGTCAACTTATCCCATTAGGTTGTAAAACAGAGTGTAGTTTGTAATTAAATTGGCAGCCATATTGAATGGCCATCAATTAAAACAGAGTCTACAAAACAGACTTGTCCATCATCACATTCGTTAATAATGGAGCATTAATTTCGAGAGAAGCTTCAGGCTATTGATTGAAATGCAAGGGGCGGGATTATAACCTACCGTTGAACTTAAACATATATAGGTATGTCCGCTTTATAAGCGATTTAAATATAAATTCGTTGTTTTTAAAGAGACGCCAGCCTCGCTGACGTTACTAATATCATTTCTTTGTAACTTCAATTGTTCTAATTGTTCTTGTATCTCTCGAATGTTCTTCATAATCTCATACTTCAATGGTCCGCACTCACTGAACTCTGCCGTCGTGAGTCCAGACGTCATGTTTAAACCAAAATTTAAACAAAGTTCTATTCTCCTTTTAAACGATCATTGATTTCGTTTTATTTTTAACAATAATCATGAATACTAATGAGTTTTTATAATGATTGATGACAGCCTCAAGTTATTTTCATGTCGCATCCGTTATTAAAAGCTGATAGCGCCGATTTTGAGTTAAAAACAATATATATATACTATATATAGTATATATTTTAGTTATGCTAAACCGGTTATTTATAGCTAATACATAATTTATGATAGTAAACAGCAGTCAATAATCTTTCACCTACAAACTTAAGCGTGTGCCGATGTCGTTGACCCCTGAATATCAGGGAGAATCCCCCAATTCGTGTCCACGGATGGGAATATTTACCCCACAGATTTCATCGCATATTTTTAATTAATTATCCATACTATCATATATGTATATGTACATATTTACACACACACAAGACACACATATGTCAAAGCAAATCTTTTACATATAAATGACTTACTTTCATTTAAATATATGTAATAAGATTTTGCTTGTTTTATCATAAACTATAAAATTATTAATATTTACATATATTAATGATATAATTTTATTTACATCCTAATCTCCTCAATACCATTTGTTTAAAAGTATTCAATAAAAATAATAGTGACGTCATCAAAATGCTTTTAAAATAGATGTTTTTTTTATATATTTTTCCTAAACAATGGAAACAAACAACCATCCTTGACACCGACTGAAAAAGCCACTACCACCCCTAATAATGACATTTACAAAGCATTTTAAACCTTAACAAAATACGATAGAGTTCTATTTCCTTTGCCAAAATTCGAAGCTTCCATTAAATAAAACATTAGCTACGTATATTCTGAAATACACTTAACCTTCTTCCATGAAGGTTTCTTTTAGATTGTACGCAATTCTTTTTAAATACAAAGCTTTTATCAAAAAATAACCTTAATTTCAAGCGGTAAGGTAGTTTTTTGTATGAATATATAAGTAAATACAATTTACGATACGCAAGGGCCCGAAATAGGAAGAAAATATAACAATTCATACTTTGATATCATTCAACAGACACGGTATTTTTCTCATCAAAATTTTCTTTTGTGAAATATGAAATTAAAGATAAAGATAATTATCTATAAAAAGATAAAGATTTTATCTTTTTAAGGTGTCACAAAAGAAATATCTTTAATTGGTTGTGTGATGTTTAGTTTCTGTTATAAATAAGTATATATGTTTTCAAAGCATATGATATTATTTAAGAGAATTATTCTACTAACAAAGACATTGTTTTGAACATTTATATTTGTATATAGGGCGAATAAAGCAGCAAGAATTACCATTTAAATTGTTTTACGATAGGGCTGACACTTTCAAGTTTTTAATCTACAAATAATTAAGTATTTGTACCTGAGTAATAACTTTTAATTTGAGACCACCTTAGATTCACAATTGACTAAGCTTGCTTGAAACTACAGCCGCACTTAATTGTATTTCTTCATTGATTATACTAAAATGAAAGAACTTTTCTGAGATGAAAATTACGTAAGTTACTCCTTATATTAGATTCGCTATTTGCTACTAAAATCCCATCAAAATCAATCCAGCCAGCACAAAGATGATTCGGAACAAACAATCCGACGCACAGAATATTAATTCTAAAATTGTATAAAATATTGCTTAATGTACCATGTACCATAAATGTATTAATATTCATTCAGATAAAAGCTATTGTAAACTACAATGTAACCACAACTTTATTTTTATAGATAGCGTTATTATACTAATTTCATAAGTAATCTACGTTAAAATTAGCACTATTTTGAATTAAACAATTGTTTCTATATACATTTTTTAATATTTTGTCAATATGACAAGTGACAACCCTACACGCTAAGCTCCCTCTGGCCAATCTAACTTGCAAAATACTACCGGAACGCTCTTTGTGTGGATCTATATTATAACTACGTTGTACCTGGAAATGAATTTTCCATAGAAATAAGCTTACATAACGTAGATTCATAAAAAAAAACTTTAGTATATAGCACTCATATCCCTACTAATATTTTAAATGTCAAAGTAACTCTGTCCGTCTGTCTGTCTGTTTGTTACGCTTTCACGCCTAAACCACTGAACTGATTTTAATGAAATTTGGTACAGATATAGAGTTGACCTTGAGAAAGAACATAGGATAGTTTTTATCCCAGACTTTTGAAAAGTTCTCTTGGAAACACGATATAACCGAACTCCACGCGGGCGAAGCTGCGGGCAGCAAGCTAGTTATATATAAAAGCATATTTTCTTAAACTCGAGAGAAAATTGTGTCAGCGACCGCTGATGCTTCTGCGTGAAATCGATTAACCTAGCTTGGAGGATGAATAAGGATTTTCTTTGCATTTTCCTTACTTAGTAATCAAATACTATTAAAACTGATATCTATGTGTGTGTGTGTGTGTGTGTGTGCGTGCACTCCAAAACTTATGAATACATAACATAATATCTGGCAAGTGAGTCGATTTCATCTGAACGGCCTTCTGGGCGTTTTGCCAACAAGCTGGTAACTCAACTTTATAAATTGGTTCAAGCTACGGAATGTTTTCATTCCGATTAATATACAATACGTTAACAAGTTATTTACACCAAAATACACGAGTGTATTATTCGATTTAAATACCTAATACAAAAGTGTATTATTCCATTTTATTAAACAATCACATGTTTGTTATATATAGATACGTACGAATAGAATAATATCTTTTGGAAATAAATACTTTTTATACGTTCTAGTACGGCTATTTTTAGTTCCTTGATAAAGAGAAAAGTTCCAAAATCAGGTAATTCTCATTGAAAAAATAATATCTTTATCAATTCACTGATTCAACATTCCCGAACCTTTGTAACAATCGTTCTCATTTCTCAAATATTCTGAATATTCGCCTGTATGTCATAAAAATATTTATAGTACTACGCAGTTCCCAAGAAAAACATAAAAACACCTATTTAAATATTTTAAGAGGAAGATTTGAAAAAGATTTTTCTTTGTTGAAAATTTACCGACTTTCATCAAGCTTTACTTACACTTAGTGACTTACTTTTATAATTATAATCATATGAAAACAATTAACATAATTTATTTTAATCTAAATTTCGTTCTTCCTTATACAGATAATGAGAAACTTAACTTTTATTAGCAAAATTCTGTATCGTTAATGTCTTTAGCAGAGATAAAATTGCCAAACAACATTTGGCATGATTACTGTAAGAACAATTGAAAATTATACGTTTTATAAAAAAAACAACGCGTTGAATATCCAGAAGCACTCGCTCTAGAAATCTTGAGGTCAGATTTTATTGCTTAAACATCAAGTAGAGAGCTTTTTAGGTCGCTAGGGACGGGTTGAGGCGGAACATTCTCCATATATTTAAGGGCGTTTTTCGCTCAGCAAACGTAAACGGTACCTAGTTACGTGGAGCTCTTTCCCGGGATAGGATCGATGCGATGTATCTGGTTTTTTCGGACACTATACCAACCGGGAGGGGTGAACGAACGGGGTTATGTAAGGGAGGATCGATACAACCAGACATGCGCGCACCCTACTTCCAACCCTCGCATAATCGTTCGCGCGCTCCGCTGTGACGGACGTGCCGTGTTTTATTTTTACCGCGTTTTGTTTCCCTTTCGTTCTTTCCGTTTATGATTTGAAGCCATCATGTCGAAGGGCGACAGTGAACAGCAGAATGGCTCCGGCGAAGAGTCCAAGACCAACCTCATCATAAACTACCTGCCGCAGAGCATGACCCAGGAGGAAATACGGAGCCTGTTCTCTAGTATCGGCGAAGTGGAGTCTTGCAAGCTGATCCGGAACAAAGGAGCGGCCTTCCCCGACGCGTTGAACCACGCGCTGCACGGCGGCGGACAGAGTCTCGGGTATGCCTTTGTTAACTACCACCGACCAGAAGACGCCGAGAAAGCTATCGCCACCCTCAACGGACTGCGCCTCCAGAACAAAACCATCAAAGTTTCCTACGCCAGGCCCAGCAGTGAAGCCATCAAGGGCGCTAATCTCTACGTGTCCGGCCTCCCGAAGACAATGACCCAGATAGAGTTAGAGAGATTGTTCAGTCCGTACGGTCGTATCATCACATCTCGCATACTCTGTGAGAATTCAGGCGGGCGACCGTTCACCGGCGGCGAGCAGGGCCTGTCCAAGGGAGTCGGCTTCATCAGGTTCGATCAACGCGTCGAGGCTGAGCGAGCCATCCAGGAGTTAAACGGGACGGTGCCGAAGGGTGCCACTGAACCTATAACAGTGAAATTCGCGAACAATCCAAGCAACAACGGGAAAGCGTTAGCTCCGCTCGCCGCGTACCTACCAGCAGCGCTCCGTTTCCCGGCGCCGCTCGGAAGATTCAGCTCAGGCAAGTCCTTACTCGCTATAAATAAAGGTCTACAGAGATACAGCCCTCTAGCGGGGGAGCTGCTCGGCGGAGTGCTCCCGGGCGCGGTCGGCTCCGAGTGGTGTATCTTCGTTTACAACCTAGCCCCGGAGACCGAGGAGAACGTGCTCTGGCAGCTGTTCGGGCCGTTCGGCGCCGTCCAGAGCGTGAAAGTCATCCGCGACTTGCAGACTAACAAATGCAAAGGTTACGGATTCATAACGATGACGAATTACGACGAAGCCGTTGTAGCCATACAGTCCCTGAACGGCTACACGCTCGGGAACAGAGTGCTCCAGGTCAGTTTTAAGACGAACAAGATCAAGACGATCTAAGTCGTCTGGACGAGGCCTAGACGATAGGACGGCACAGCAGGCGCGCACCCATACATACAACATAGAAGATAACAACGCCCGACAAAGACACGCATCGTGTCTCATTACACGACATTTAGCGGCCATTTTGTAATTTAATTGTAAATTTTATCGATTCGCTCATTGTACCTCTTTGTTCGACGTTCGCCATTTCCATCTAGTACAACTGGGTTAAGTGTCACGAAAATCAAAATGGCGGAATGGTTATGCGCATGTACGGATGAAATGGCCGACGTTGAATGGGAACGGAGCACGCAATAATAATATAAGAGGTAGCATCAAATGCTCTTGACAACAACCATACATATTAAATAGTCAATAACAATGACAATCAACTTCGCTTATGAAAGGTTGTGGTTATCGAGAAATAGTTTTCGATTATAAATTAAATAATTAGCAATAATAGCCTAATGCTATTCTCACATTTTAGGAGATCATATCTTTCGATGTTCAGCGGCCGGTTCGGCTCGATTCGATAATGTTTGCCAAATATATTGTCACTATAACCGCGTCCGTCACTCGCGGCTAAGTCTTGGCCAAAGACTACCGGCTATACAGCCACCCGCGGTGAACGGTGAATCCAACTATAATAGAATTATTGTTAAAGATTGGAAGAATATATATTATCTATACATATATTTAATTCATATATTAATCTAATTAAGAATGAAAACTAATCAAAAACTGTGATAGGTTTTGATAAAATTTTAAAATAAATAAATCTTGAAAGATCACGGATTGTCAGCGGAGACGGTGCAAGCCGGTGGCGTACATCGGTTACAACATACGAGTATATCGTACTTATGATAGGGACATTATTGTCGTAATGGAATTGCGAGTTTGGAATGTACGACCACCGTTGATAGGTAGGTTAGTTTTTGAGAAACATTTTGAGCTGACTAGAGATCGTAATACGCTTAGGGCGGTGTCGAAAATGGCACGCGCTATCAAAGGAAGATGGGAAAAATCGATTTAGCTTCCCTGGCCGGGCGAAGCGGATAGCGGCGTCCCCCTCCCACCGCCCGCGCTAGAGCGAGACGGCGCTAGCCGGTGACAAGAAAGTTTGCGGAACAATGGTGCATACTAGTCTAAAGATATCGTAAAATCGATATCTAAACATATGATCGGTACCTGCTATATTAATAATGTATGGATGCGACCCTGCGTCTATTCGAAGTAGGCTTTAATTGTCTTAGTTTAAATAAAGAAAAAAAAATTGTAAATAAAATGTTGTTTAAAAATATACATATAAAATAAAATAGAAGACGCGTCGGATTAAACACCCAACACAAAATAACATGAACCCAAATGAAACATCGAACTTGAATAGATATATTATCGTGCCGTCCTAACGACCCTACGATTTTTGTAAAAAAAAATATATACTTAATATATGTAAAAAAAAAAACAGTTTTGTAATATTTCAGATATTAATTAAATAGGTACTCATTACTAACCAAAGATGGAGATTAAAATTTACAAGTATTTATATATTTATTATAAATTAAATGTAAAACGTGCAATAACTGATAGCCAGTAATTTAATGAAAATATATTAAATAAATAACTCAATATGGCGTCGGTAGAAATGACGCGCGCCGCCTTCTTTACTATTTATTGTAACCTTCGTTTTACCGAGCGAGCCACTATTTCGATTACTTTATATATTTAATGACGAAAATTATATAAAAAAAACGCTTAATTTGACCCAGCTTTGCTTACATTCCAATTAATTATAAGTTATTTAGTATCATTTAGATGAATTGTGAGGTTACCATTTATATTTTCTGACAGATGTCTTGTGTCAATATTTTAGCTTGCGGTCGTCGCACCGAGAGTGTTGCACAAGTTTTTTTTTATGTAAACTTATCGATAATTCTATAATTGTAGTATCTTAGGTTAATATAGTTGTTGTTTTGTGCTGTTCGATATTTTCTCGGTCTTAGTGTAGGCGGGAATTATAACCACTAATGTTGACGATTGTAATTTCATTTTTTTTAATCTATGTTTAGGTATACCGTCATTTATTTAGTGTATGTGCAATTTAATGTATCCTTTCGTATATAGTAGGTGTGCGTTTAACTTATTTGATATGTTGTACCGATATCGGTACCTAAATTGATTTATTTATTAGTGAAAATATATCGGGCGATATTATTATACAGATATTATTTCGTCGTGCAATCGGAACGTGTTTATTACCTAAATTCATTTATAATCTGTTTCGATTTATTTAATGTTTTCATTGTCGTGTAATTAACGTTTGAAACGAAACAATAACACCAAAGTATTGTAAACTCATCGACTTTTTAGATAATAATAATGTTAATGTGAAAGAAAAAAAAAATAATCTAAATATTTTGGAGGGAAATGTTGGTATTTTGGTAAGATGTGAAAAAAAAGTCACTTGGTTCTGAATATTAGTAGAATGTTTTGTGCTGTCACCGAGTTCTTTCGGTCATAAAATAATAATAATAAAAATAATAATGATATTGATAAATTATTAATAGTGCTCAATAGTGTAGCTTAGAATAAATAATAAAAAAAAATACTGGAGAAGCAATAATAAAATATTGTGAATTTTTAACCGTTACACACAAGTAGGTATGCTACAATATTATAATTAACTTAATATTTTTATATGTATTTTAAATATACTAATATGAAATTCATATCTACATAGATTTAAGCGGCGGACGTACAAAACGTTCTACTAAATATTGTGATTGGGGCGTTTATGACTATCGACTTAACCATATATGTTTAGAAAAAAAATTTAAGGCTGCTTGAAAGCAATAATCATTTGATACATTGAACTTACGTGTTCCTTAAGGAAGTGACGGAAGATACGTTCAGAAATCGGTAGTCATTAATGCTTTGGAATCGCAATATATCTACAAGACTATATAAAATACATTGGCTTGTAGGTAAAACGTCGAATTGACCCCGATAAGTGACAAGGGATAGCCAGACCTATCAATAGCGTGACAGCTAATTTTTGAACGGTGTTTTGATGCATTTTTTAAAAAGTTTGAAAAATTATATAAAAAAAAAATTAAACTTAACATAATTATTGGCAATCCAGAAACAATACTAATACGCATAGGCTAATTGACATTGAGGCTGTGAAATTAGCAAAATAAAAATAAAAAATAATAAAAAAATTACACGTGGTGAATGATCTTTATTGATAAAAGTATGGTAAGGAACACAGAATGATAGTGATTTTATAATGAGTCGTGAAATGGAATGCCTTCAATTCTGACAATTCAAAGTTTGACGTCCATGACACACGCTTGTCATTCCAATGTTCAACTATCATTCTGTGGTAATCATGAAATCACGTACACTGTACACACAAGGTTATGCCCATATGTAATAAGTAAATCAATTGATTATTCCGACGATATTGTGTGACTGACTGTCCGAATATATATAGTAATGGGTGAGGCAAATAGCATTGCGTTAAGCTTAATTATTGGATTTGGGTGATATGGAATGGCCTAAGGTTCAACCATAGCACAAAACACATTGATGGATGACCCCTACGCCATTCCCATAGTTAAGACACAAAGAAGAAATGAAATCTTCCATAGTAAATAATGCGTAAGTTTAATGTTTGCGTAAAAATATTTCAACTTTCGTTATGGGCGACACTCGGTGCGTTTACTCTAGTCAAATGCTCAATAATTAAAAAGCATCTAGTGTTGTAAGCGTATTAATCGATAAGTTGTAATATTTTTATCGTAAACTATTCGAGACATCGACTAAATGTGTTACTATTACTTCATACGTCAGAGTTTTAGTGAATTGCGTCGCGCAACACCTACCAATGGGAGGGCTATATTGTTGTAAAATTATTAAAAATATTAATTAAAAACTGTGTTTGCTCATCAGGTACTTCCCCGTCTTTCGGACCCCTTTCTCTAGTATAGCTTAGCGTACGCTCCTTAATAGTTTTATAAAGTATAGCCGATTCCAAGCTAAATTTTTGCCTCCCTATTTACATTCATTATTTTTGTGAGAACATACGACAGCGCTTCAAAACCGAGCCAGTTGAGACAGAATATATCTATAGAAATGCCTAAAGATTTTTTCACTTTTTTAAAATAAAAACACCTCAGTAGAAATAGCACAGATAATATATAAAAATGAAATCGGTGCCGTATGTGATCGCAAATATCTTATAGACAGTGAAAAAAAAACCGGTGCGGATTGATTATTAAAAAAAAAAAGGAAAAAATATCGATTTCCGAACGTAATTTTCGTCTTATCTCTGAGCTGAAGATTGCAATAAATATGTAAATAGCTGGCATCGGGACTTCGGGTAACCGAAAGGTTCGAATTTAATAATATTTATATATATAAACATATATATATATATGTAAATCATGTAATATCATTTTCACTGTCTATTAATTAGGTTATTTTCGGTGTTGATTCCTCTTAAGTGCATAACGGTTTATTCCCATTCCCTTAGAGGAATATCAAAATATTTACATAACAACGAAATCATATGACAGAATAATTTAAACTGGCCTAATAAGTCTATGGAGGCGTTGGAATGGGAATTATACCGTGGGGATGCAATGTAGTATGTGATACCTATAAACCTATAGTCCTATAAACCTATAGTCCTATAGACCTATAGTCCAAACCGCTGACAAACGAATCTCGAAACTTCCATTAAGGCTAGCGTTAATGCAGTGTAAGATAAATGTAAGTTTTAACAACTGAATATGTTAGTTCATTTGATACGAATGATCTTCCGATTTCTATGGAGTTTCTTTTCATCTATATAATATAAGTAGTAGACGGCTATGTCGATCGTAACAGATTTAGTTGATATTGTGAAACGTGCTTAAAATAAACACGTTGCTTATCTTATGCTATATATGTATATATATATATATATATATTTATTATTGTGTACGTTTAAACGATTACCTCTACTTCTTTAT